TTCAAGTTTGTTCCCACTTTTTATTACCTAAATTAGATATCAGACCTAAATTTGGAAAGTGGACAAAATGGGAATAGGAACAGGAACATGAAATTAAAACGAATAGGGCCATGGTAACGTTTCGAGTTACTAAATTTGGTAGCTACTTCCCCTACTGCATTTGGGAGTATCGTTATCGTTATTGACTAGCTCAAAATGGGTCAGGCATAACGATAAGACGCAAGCCTATTGTGATTTAGGGTGCTCTAATCAGGACTAGATTTGGTAACATTTCGTTACTAAACTTGGTAGGGGAGATAGCTTAACATTCGGGGAGGTAAATTACCTCTCCTATACCTCCCCCAATCTATTACCAGATTTGGCAAACTAACTATGGCAGGGGAGGTACTGATGAGAACGCACATAATGTTAATTGCTTCGCGTGACGTTGTTTGTACGAGTCAATAAATACTATAACAAATAGTGTACGTATTAACAGAAACCGATCACTTTATACTACAAAAAGAATTTTTTATGCTTGATCTGTGTAAACAATCCCAACCGTTTACTTATAAAAAAATCCGCAGTTTTTAAGCAAAATACAGATTAGCTTAAGTGTGCTTGTTTTGGAGTTATGTGTCGAGTTTGGGATCTGTCTCGACTCAGAACCGAGTCACTCAGTTCAAAAAGTTGTCTTAAACCCGAACCCAGACATACTCAAGTTGACAGATCTCCAAAGTGACGTTAACATGTGCCATACTTCATCTGTAGGTAGCGGTTTATATGTTACACATACAGAGCTATCCGAAAATAACCGGGAGGAAATGAGTACCACACTAGTTTTAGTACTTTACCAGAATAAACGAGAAGAAACTAGTATATGACCCGATATTATGCAAGAAAGGTTTGGGAGGCTAGAACTATTGCGATGTAAATGGTTCATCCGATACTTTAAAGTTAGAATGACTGTCTTTGCATGATCGTGAATTTGACAACTGATTTTTTTCCCACAAACTTATTATAGTAACCTTTGTTCACTCTCTAATTGGTGATTGCAAAATCATATCATGGAATCAAAAGGGCCCTAGAAAGGCGTGGCTCCAAACTCATGTAGGTCAAATATGTCTTCTTTCTCTGAAGACCCGAAAATACGGAACGAAATTTATGCCATTCTCTGATTGGCTGATTTCAAATTAAAACGAAAATTTGTCAGACACATTAATTAACATAATAATAATATAAAAAAATTTCTTTCGAAACTTCGTTTCTTTTTATGTAACTGGAAATGTTTTGGAAATTTAATTATACATTCCGCATGCTAGAAAAGTTCTGCACACCATCCAACTCGTGGATATCCAAGTCAAGTATAGATGCGAATTGTTCCACCCATAATAGGTATTTACTAGTCGTAAAATCGGGAGGCATTCATTTCACCGACAATCATTTCGCCGACAGGTACATTTCACCGACAAAAACTACCAAAAAAGAATAATTTCAAAATAATGCTGGCGAAAATTTGTCGGTGAAATGATTGTCGGCGAAACGATTGTCGGTGAACCGGACCCGTAAAATCAAATTACTACAAGTTATCATACATAATTTTTAGTCATTAGAATTATTGTCGCCGTACAGTTTAAGAAAACATTGACACAATTCGTTTATTTCATGGAACCGTTGCATTAAGCTCAGTATCTTACTATTAACAGTAAACCCAAACAAAAATTCATACTAATTGCGCTTGCCGTTATGGCAAAACAAGCATCCATATGTCAACTAATTATTTCCCTTGTAATCGATTATTTGGCCCGTGGTACAAGTTACACTATGGTAATACTGTTGGTATAAAGGTCATAAAAATTGTGTAATAAAATAAGAGCTTACATTTACGCAAGAATCGAAAAATCGGACTGATGGAGTGTAAACAATACTACTGACCTAACTCTTAATTTGAAAACCTGCATACATTCTGTGTAGTACAACTGATTTTTACCGGAGTCCATTATTTATGTACAAACGATTTTCATACAATTTCATATGTGAAACGCACATGTTGATTACTTTTTTATTAGGATAGCTAATGTAAACTTTTATAACTTCAAAATTTTACATTATAAACGAATAAAATGTTTTACTGGTAATACGTTTCGCTTGTCTATTACATTCATCGTTCATGTTAATTTCGTGTGTGTTGTTACGCTTAAGCTTATTATTAAAATTTATCAACGGTACTATGATTGCTTTGCGCGGTATAAGCAAGGGGATTAGTGACTATCTATTGCGTCACGGATGAATTGCCGCACCTGAAACTGTCAGTTGAAGATAATAGGCATTATCGGTTGATTATGAATATTCTTGATGGCGTGTGCCCTGTGACAACACTTTGTCCATTTTGTGTGAAAGATTATGCTGAATATGGGAATGTCCCTGAACGTGAGAGCTGTTATAATTTATGTCATTCCATAAACAGTTCTATCCGGTAATAATACCAAAAAAAATTAGATCGTGCGAGAGAGGATCCTGCACAGACGTTTATCGGAAACGCCTTAATATGGTGCCGATTTACGTATTCATGACATATAAACTAAGTCCGGTAGAATAGGAGAGTCAATCCAAACTTTGCCAATCATCTCATCTCATATGGACAGAAGATTCTTCGGGAAATTTTCCAAATTGATGCTAAAGTTTAATTGTTTATTTTAATATGCATATTATTCTGTTTAAAATCAATTCTCATATAGCCGAGACATACTCACATCAGTCATATAAATATATTCTTATCAAGATATTTGAAATCAATTTTCAGCTAGTCGAGCAAGATATTTAAGCAAGGCGGTCCACAGTAAAAATACAGTTTTTTAAACAATTTTTGATTAAAATGCTTGCCAAAATTTTCTTTAACCTATTTACCGGCTACGACGACAGTGAAAATAATAAATTCGTCAACAACGTGTCAATTAGCAAATGTCCATTTGCTAACACTCCATCATATCGTGCCAAACGAAACTCAACTGATTACCACAAACAAAATACTTCCTCGCTCGAATATACGCCGTGTTTTACGTCTTACATATTTCCAAACGCAAACTTATCATTGCTAAATGCCAAATTTAAAGAATCGTCCAGCACGTTGCCGCCTCCTTCCTCCACGCGTCCGACTCCATACACATATCCCCGCGACAGCTTGAACAATCTTTTCAAAAACTCAAACAACTCGTGGCCTCCAAAGAGTTCTCCTTCAACTGTACCATATCCGCTCTCATTATACATTCAACTTTGTGATGAAATACCGTCACGCATGTCTTCGGATGCATATACTCATGTTGAATTTATGGCATGGATGATCGAATATTTGTCTAAAAATATATTGCATTTGATGACAGATATTATGAGCAAAATCGAAACATTACAACCGGGTGATGGACATTATGAAGCTATGTTAAGCTGTCTAAGCGTCTGTCTTCTTTCATACCGTTGGGGTCCTCTTCCTAATGGTTCTTCCACTGCCTGCGTCTCGTCGCTGCAGCTCCCAAGTGAGCTAACTATTCCATTTACACGATTGACATCTCGAATAGGATTACCGCCTTGTCCTACATTGTATTCGACGATACTTTGTAATTGGAGCGAGTCCACTACACTCAATATCGATGGTGAAGACATTACCTGGCCACTTGATACGAGGTTTACATTTAGCATGAGAGATGACAGCGACATTGGATCAACCACAGAGAGGGGATTTTATCTCAGCGTTATTAGAATGGAGAGCATGGCAAAACGGTTGTATGAGCGTGCTGCTACGTTGGTTGAACTAGTGAACGGATACGAGGAAACTCAATCAAAGTCAATGAGCGATACTACAAAGGACAGCGTAGAAACAAAAGATCAAAAAATAATTGAAGCAATGATTCGATTGCGCCATTCTGCTACACACGTCTTTCGAGTATTCTACAGCATGACCGCGAAAAAAACTCAATCGTCTCACGGTTGCCCATTTGCCGCTCCATTTGCAATGTCTGTATCCGCATGGTCGACACACGCACAGACACCAACGGGTTGGGAATTATCGGGTTTCAAGGGCATTTCTGGATCTCAAGCGCTAATTATTCCCGTGCTGGACACTGTTCTCTCGTGTGTTGGTACGTCACCTGCATATCTAGATGCGATTGATTCGTATGAACATTACACAACACAAGCCATGCGCGATTTTGTTAATTCCATCAAGAACGTTCCGATATCTCTTCGTGAATACGTGATAAAGTCAAAATCAGTCACACTTAAAAGAGAGTACAATCAGTTGGTTAGTTCTTTGGCTTTGTTTAGAATGGGGCATAGGGCCATTGGGAGAAAGTATCTTGGAGGAGGAGAGAGTAACGTGGAGGCAGAGAAAACTGCAGGTGAATTGGTTAACAAATTAAGAAAGGATGGTGAAGGAACGGTTGATACGTTCTCTCGGGCAATGACGGAAAGAATATTGGAGACAAAAAAATTGCTTGTGGAAGAAATGCCTTAGATTAGTAATTATTTTGGACAGGACATAATAATCAACGTTAACACAACACATATATTCAATAAAAAATAAAAAAAGTTTCAAAATATTAAATGGACACCCTATACTTGTACGACTTTTACTTTGGTTTGAATTTCAACGATTAGTTGCCTGATAACGATGACAATAACACGATTGTTCGGAGACACTTTGATTCAAGTTGATATTCGACATGAGGGTTTTTTTACAACACCAAAATTGGTTTTATGATGCATATGATTTTCGGGGATTATTTCTTAATAAGTTTGCAATGTATGACGTACGAATTAACATTTGACATATAAATGTCAAATGCTTGCGCCTTGTATCATAAGCTTATTCACACAAACACTAGTACTTTTTCAAATGGTAAATTTTTTTTAGCGTAAAGGTCAACATGTAATCCCTTAAAAGTTAAGACCTTAATTTTTACAACGGGGCAACATACATAATAGTTACACCTTTGCTCAAATGGTTTCCGGCCAAGAATAAAGTTGAATAGGAAAAAGGGGTGGGGATAACTTAAAAAAGATTACCCGTTTTGTAATAAGATCGGTCCTATACTTATTGATCTACAGAATGGTCAAAGCATTCAACGTTGTGCAGCAGAGACAATTTAAAATGACCACACCGCATAAGTATTCAGAGAGTTGGCAGCAATAAACCAGCATTTATTCGTCCTTTTCTTGTTCCTTTACGAAGATTACCATCATTTAATTCTATCATCAACTTGCAGTACGGTATCTTCGGTAGCTGGCCGAGATAAACTTGATCGTTACTATGTTATTCGTACTGTTGAATAAAATCTATTGAAACTCGCATGAAACATTCTGTTCGGAGGGCACAACCAAAATAAAAGCTCCATTTCTCTCTACAAAAGTAAGTATCGTCCGCGTTTTAATTTTACTCCATGCCGCATGTTACTGTCCCCTTTTAGCGAAAGCACCTTGTGAATAAAAGTTTCTCGCGATAGTTACTACCCCCACCTGACCCGTCATGTGTAACTGAATGTATATTTATATGGATAAACATTCGGAAAGGCCCCCCACCCAAATCTAGTATTTAATTCGAAATGTGACACTAGCTGTAATTAGTAAAACAGCGGAAATATTATCACTAACCCCCGGCGTAAACAATGCTGTAACACAACGATTATCCTGATCGACGAACATCTTTGCGCATTTGGTAATAGATATAACGATAACGTTCGTGTAGAATAACGACACGTATTCAATTTTCACCAGATAAAAGGATCCCAAGTTTTCCTCCATCCTCAGGTTTACGGCCCGAATTCGTTACGGAACCCAT